GACGTTATCTCTACTTAACTGTTTATTGTTGATTGATGAGCTTATCCCTATTTGCTGAGTCTATTTCTAGTTTTAAAACTAGTGTCTCTTAAGTATATATCTTCCTACTTCGAAATGATTTTTGTATATCTATATATATCTATCGATAATGTATTTCAACGCGTTGGAGTGGGTTACAAGCATCTCTCGCTGAACAGATATATTTGGCTTTCAGGCACAGATGAGTAGACACTGGAGCGCGCTAGAGATTTGGAGCGTAGAATAGATAGTTTCCCTTTCGGCCTGCGTGCCATGCTTATGTATTGACATTATTGAGGATTTTAGTTAGTTAGCCTGTACACCTGGGTTCTCTAGCTCAGGTGTGGCATAGCACCCCATACTCTTATGTTATATTTTTTGGATTTAATGAGAATTTACCTTTATTATATAAGTCTTAAAAGTTGAAAAATTTCGAGGTGTTACACTCTCTCTAGAGGAACTGGACGAATATGCAAACAAGGCAAACTTGCCTGATGTGACTGATGAGTTTACCCGACTGGAGCTTCACATGCCCTATCGCTTTCTTTGAATAATGTTTGTTTTATCTGTATGGCTTGGGGCACTTCTGCCTGATTCCTTTAATAAAATTCTCTATCTTTATTACCATTACTAATTGTTCTTTTGACCATGTTTCTATGCTGTCAGAATATTCCTTTCGGGTCAAAGATGGAATTATTTCTTGTGCATTATTTCTTAAAAGTTTCAAACTTGTTAATGAATGTATGGATTCAAACTAAAATGACAGAAGATGATGCACAGAAACCATAGACTCTCTTAGTGGTTAACCTTTGGACAAAACAAATAGGAAAGCTTCAAGGAGAACCAGAGCTCGTCTTGAAGAAGACGAACAAGGCGATTATTATCTCGGTGACAATCCTCATGATCCTCTGGTTATCTCATCTGACTCCGAAAGTGAAGACTATGATGAACTCATCAAAATGAGTGCTGATAAAGATATCAGTTCATTTGATCCTAATGAGGAACCCCCTCTAATTGTCAGAAAGGGTTTTCTATCTCTGAACACTTGGAACAACCCCACTATGGACAAGGATCTTCGGGAGTTCTATCGAATCTATGACTGCAAGACTGAGCTTGTAGGGTACATTGAAGGAGAATCTAATAAGGAAATGCACCTCTCCGATGGACCATCCAGTCCAAATGCTCCTACAACAAAGAAAACGCCTAAGGGGTCCAAGGGCGAAACTAGCAAGACAAGGAAAAGAAAGGCAAAGAAATGAAAATTTCTTTGTTATATGTTCATTAATCATCTTTAATTCTGCCTTCCTGTTCATCTATGTTTTGTGCATTTATTAATGAAAATTTTCTGGCATGAAACTCTGACTGTCTGATATTTGTATGCCTTGAAATCAACTCACTGACCTTGGAATTATGATATTCTTGAAAATATCCATTCAAAGTCTTCTACGACATTAATGGTCAATTGAAGAAATATATGGCTATTAATTACGGCATTAAATGCTGCGGGCAGTTTTGCATCAAGTATCTTTTCTCATCACATCTATAAAAGGCGGATATATTTCACTCTTCTCTACCATCTCTATCTCCAAAAATGTATCCTAAAAAGCCTTTCACTAGAGGAGATTCTCGAAAACAGAGAGAACTCGCCAAGAAAATTAGGGAAGAGCAGGGAGACCTATACCCTGGTAATAACCTTCAAGCACCACTAGAGGTCTCCTCAGACACCGAATCATCACCTCTGTATGATGAAATGGCTGCCTACATTGTCGAGGAACCTGAAGAAGCTCCTGTGGAAGAAGAAGCCCCTCAACAAGAGAAAACACCCACTGATCTGCCCAACAAGTACTATGACAAGGACTACGTTAACTATCTACAAGAAAAGCCCAAATCTGAGGATGAAGAAGAACCTGCTTCGTCTTCTGATTCGAATTTTCTGCGTACTGGGAAATGGTACAAAAGGATGTGGGCAGAACTCAAGAAGCCGAAAGCTGAACCTCGTGAGCATGAGAAAGATGAGAGGAAGAAAAATTGATCCGTTGATTATGTATTTCTTTTTATGTATCAACCTCTCGTTTGGTTTAATAATATAATCCCGGTCTTTATTTCTTAATTCGGGCCTGCATACGTGTTGAACAAAACTTTAGTTGTTTCGTTTGCACTTACACCAAAGTATCTCTTACCACGCTTGCCTTTCTTGGAAATGAATATATTCTCTTAAGCGTGCTGGTTATCTCAGTGAAGTGTCATTCGGGGTCACATCTTTTGATGAAAATATCATCTATATAAAGGCCTATCTTGGGAAACATGGCTTCACTCTTCTCAATTAATATCATCATGGATAAAGGGAAAGAGATGTGTCTCACAACGGGGAGTCTGTCTAAGAAAGTTCGATCTAAGAACGATCCTCGTCATGAACTCAACAATTCACTACTGGAAGGATCATCCTCAAATGATGGATCCACCAAGGCCTCGAGCATATCTCATTTCCTCTCATTTGTGAAGCTTGCACCACAACTCAAAACAGAGGAAAAATTCATGGCCATTCATGATGTTGCTGAAGCTCGAGTCAAGGCTTAATTAGATGATATGGAAAAGAGAGGTCTTTCAAGAGATGCAATGGGAATAGACCACGAGACTATTGTGAATGAAGTATTCGCTTTTGAAGTTCTCAAGAAAGACTACATGTATTCGTGCACGAGAGATGTAGTCACAATGTCTAATATCTATGTCCCGTGTAATAAACATCTCTCGGGTTGTGTCATGTATTCTCGTTATATGTTCCATATAGGTTCACGACACTTTATTTGTCTCATGGACCTTTCGTTGTGATAAGTGAAATCTGTCATGTTTCGGTTTTCAGACGTACTCAAGAAGATACAAATCATAAAGATCATCTGAACCGTTAAAACTTTTTCATAATGGACATCGTGTGGTCGAGAAAGGTGGTCCACTACCCCATGATCTCTGTCAGTTGAATTGACGCGCATTTAATGCATACATAGGCACTCGAGTGGTTTTCTCTCTCCTCATTTAATGAGGAATGATCAAAACTGATCTGAGCATGATCTTATCATATCTCCATAACCAGATCAGTTACCTATTTTGAAGAATTGGAACCGGTTATATTTTGAAATTCAAATAATCCATCACTCAAATGGGTCACCCGTTCTTTGTATACCCGAGACCCAAGAAAACCCTACATAAACCCTCTTCCTACCATACTTCATCCCTTTCATTCACTCTTTATCTCCCATATGCCTTATCACTTCTATTGTATCCAAAACATCTCAAATGGCGAAGTCATCCAAAGCTACCCCTCCGATGCTGAACCAGAAGTACCATCCACAATGGAGATACCTACTTTTCCCACAGATAATACCGCCTTTATTGAATCCCGAACTCCTTTCATCGCCGGTGGAAGCATGTGGGATGCGCATGGATTCCTGAAGTATGTCCTTAATCGAGACATTGGAGAAAAGATCATCACTTTGCTCAAGGAAACTGGTTTGTACAAGTTTTCTGTACATTTGTACTCTTTTTGGTTTCCCACGGATGTTGCACAGTTTTATATGAATGCTACTGTTTCTACGGATGCACTCACTATATCCTCTAGAGTCAACAACCACGAGATAACAATCACGTCAGAAGACATTAGAGCTGCTTATGAATTTCCTCTGAGAGACGAGTCGTACAAGTCCAATCTTGCATTCTATCATTATTATCAGAATGAATTCTATGGCTCTATCAAGAACAAGCAGGGTCCAAGTGCAATCACATGACCCTTAAAGAAGAAGTGGTTTCGATTGGATTACGAATTCACTGTGGACATCTTCAACAAGATTGTCGAACACAAGACATCGGGGACAGACGATATAACAAAGGAAAAGCTCAAAATGCTGCACGCATTTCTCAATGAACACAAGGTGGACTGGTCGAAGATAATTTTCAATAACCTTCTTCATGTCATCACATTCAATAGATCATGTCCTGGTGATATTGCGAAGAAGATGGGCTATGGATTCTTGGTAAGTCACCTTCTTACCACAAAGAAAATTCCTATGAGACCAGGAATTAGGCCGGGACCAAAGGCATGTCACATGCAGCACAAGCCCACGGGCTATGACAAGCAAAAAGCTTTGGAATTGGGAATCCCTTTGGAGTTGGTCAAATCTAAACGAAAATCCAAAAAGACGAAGGAAGCACCTTCCCAGGGGGAAGACAAGACGAAGGAAGTACCTTCCCAGGGGGAAGACAAGACGAAGGAAGTACCTTCCCAGGGGGAAGACAAGACGAAGGAAGTATCTTCTCAGGGGGAAGATAAGACGAAAGAAGCTCCTTCACAAAAGGAAGATGAGGCAAAAACGAAAGAAGCTTCCTCAAAGAAAAGAGCAAAGGCGAAAGACGTATCATCAAAGGGGGAAGCAAAATCGAAATCTTCTAAGAAAAGAAAGCACAAGTCTTCCTCAGAACCACAAGAACCCATTTCTCCGAAAAGCCTCCAACCACAAGAACCCATTTCAGCAGAGCGAACATCTCCACGTTCGACACAAGAACCTGTTGTTATGGAAACGGAGGTCAATCACTTCAGTCTCCCACAAAAACCTGGCTTGCTAGAAGAGACGAGAGAAGTGATTGCCAACACGAACGTTGCTGCCGTTCTTCCTACCGAAAGTTCCCTCCCACAAGAACCTACCCTTGCAGAGCAGGTACCGGGTATTCTGACACAAGAACCTGCATCGGTAGTTGAGGACGATCAGGTGATCTCTGAAAAGGTTGTTGATCCGAAAGCTGTTGTAACACTACCAGAAGCTGTGCCTATCCCTCCAACAAAAGATCAACTACTTCGAGAAGCAATGGAGATTGACTACAACAGAGTCATGCAGTGGCAGAAATGGCGCACATCTCCAATAGACACTCTGCTTGACACAGCCGAAGCAATGAAGGAAGAAGAAAATTTGCCTTAGAGTGGGTCAGCACGAAAGATGTCTATGAAGCACTGCGTCTTGAGACAATTCGACGAGTGTATTCTTATAAAGTGACCAATTGCACTCTCGGGAAAGATAAGGCACCCATCTGCATCGAACTCAACAAACCTCCTTTGGATCCAGCCTTTGTTGAAGAAATGAAGGAACTTCGTTATGCAATGCTCCTATCCAAAATCAAGACTGACTTAGAAAAATCACACCAGAATGATCCAAATTGCGATGTCAGTGGATCGAAGGACGACAATGGCAGAGAAATCAATGACGAATCTAATGAAAACAAGGAGGAAGAAAAGGAAGACGAATAAGACAAAGATACTGATGATGCTGATGCGGATGATGAAAATGATGATGATGACGACGATGCTGATGATGATAATAATCACAATGGGGGTAACACAAACTATGACAGTGATTCCCCTCTCTTGATCAACCCGGACTATAATGCAGCTGTACCCGAAGAATCCTCATCACACAACTCATCCTCCCGAAGTGATGACAAAAAGGAAGCATCACTCAAGGATGACGAAGTTTCAAATGCTCATCCTGAAGACTTATCTCGTGCCATCGTCCCTCATGTTCAACCTATGGATGAAACTCCTATCAAGAAAGAAGATGCAACCCTTCGTGAGGACAAACTGGATGCCTCACCTATCCTGATAAGCTCAGCCAGTGGTGGCAAAAAGGATGCACCATTTCAAAAGGAACAAATGGATACCTCTCCAACAAATATTGAAGAGGAATCTCCACTGGTGTCCCCACATCACGTCATGAACCTTATGAGGGAAACTGTTCACACAGCCGAACTTATTCATCGGGAATATTTAACTCTTCGGCGAAGGGACACCCAAACCATGGATGACTTATCTAAGAAGGTGGACCAACTGATGGCTGCTCATGCTCAACCTCACTCTCCACCGCAAGCTCAACCTCCACCCCCACCGCAAGCTCCACCCGAACATCATTCTAATGATCTTTTGGCAAAGGAACTTCATGAACTCCATACCTCTGTCAACAAGGTGGCAAGGCAACAGCACGAACTCAAGCACTCGCGTTATAGCCTCAAGGAGCGTGTTGATTTAGCCTGCATAAAGATGGAGACTGCACATGACAACGCATATCAAATGGGCTAGTACTTGTTCCAAATTCTCGGATATGTGCAAGATACCTTGATTGCAGTCAACAAGTTGTCTACTCCTCCTATTGCTTGTGCCGATGATGCCAAAAAGGGGGAAAAGAGGAACCCTGATGATAACGATGATGATCATCCTAGGGATGATACGAGAAATCGCTCTCAGTCTCATGCTCAAAGAGATTCTGAAAAGAGAAGCACGAACCCTCTGCCTCCACCTTCCAAGTCTCGTGATCATCAATCTTCTCAATCAAGACATCACTCATCTCGTGGTCATCAACAGTCACAATCCCAACATCACTCTATCAAGCCTCGCCAATCTCTCGGCTCTGAATCCAAATATATTTTCAGTGGCCTATCTAAGAGACAAAGAACGAGCCTCAGACAAAGGCTTATGAAAGATAGAAAAGTCACAATGGATGGCGTGGGAAACTTTGTGGATTTTGAACCATATGAAGAAGGGAGCGGAAAACGATTTGAGGGATGCAATGTTCCTGTCTAGATGAATACAAAGGCCAATCACACAAGACAACACCACATAAGCTCTCAAAACGAAAGGATCAAAAGGATGAATAGAGAGCTATGGGAAAAACATGAGGAAGAAGCTCGTAAAAGAGAACAAGAACTTTAGGAAAGAGAGCGGGTAAAAGAGCTGATTAAAGATCTCACGAAAGTAACCAGAAACTCTGAACATGGAGTTATTTACAATGCAGCTTTCAAAGTACATGCCAAATCTGGAAAAAGTTATACAGAAGGGATGAACTCCTTCGAGCTAATCTCGTGGTGGAAGTTAGGAATTGTTGACGGAGTAAACATTCTTGAAGCCTACAATAACTACATAAGCCTCAACATAAAGGGAAAATACGAAGATCTGATTAGGGAGAATCAAATCAAGGTTTTCAGAGAACGAATCAATGAAGAAATTGACACCGATAGAATGCTCAAGGAGCAAAAAGAAAGAGACATTCGTGAATACAAGTAGTCCAAGCAGCAGAAGACGAAACTTTTAGAGATGTAAGATGTTTACTTTCTGCCCTCCTTAAATCTTTTGTAAGTTTAACTATCTATATATGAACCCTTCGTTGTTACACATCTCGTGTTACTTGTCTAAGTTGCTTGTCAGTGTCTTGTTTGTTATTTGTACTTATCTAAAGATGACTTGTAAACTCTCAGTAATGGCTGTTTTTGAAATAAAGAATCATTTATAGGATATTTATCAGCCTTATGAGAAGAGTATAGGTTTTGGCATCATCAAAAAGGGGGAAATTGTTAGGAACACTTGTATTAGGATTTTGATGATACCAATGTAACCTAGAATGTAGACCCCTAACCTTCGTTATTTTTAATCGCTGCTTTCATTCTAACGAAAGTTGCCATAACTCACATTGTAATTCGTGTTAAGCTAGACAAACACACGAAAACGAGTTATGATCTTTTGTTAGGGCTATCAAGACGAAATGAGACACAAAGCACGAAGACTGAAGCGTCAACAACGAAAGTTTATCAAAGGTTATCAACCACCTCGTAGAGACAGCTATCAGTATGACGATTTATCAAGACATTCATTCTCTTCAACAGCAAGAAGAATGTTACTACTGTCTGAGGTGACTAACCATCCTAGGAACAAAAGGACCTCAACATGTGGAACACGCATACCAAGGAGCATTAAATGAAGTTGTACCTGTAACACCCCGAAATTTTGAAACTTTTAAAACTTATATAATAAAGGTAAATTCTCATTAAATCCCAAAATAGAGTATTTCTAAACATAAGAGTACGGGGTGCTATGCCACATCTGAGCTGGAGAACTCAGATGCACATGCTAAACTAACTAACTATCCTCGATACATCATTGTGGCACGCAGGCCAAAAAGGAAAACTATATATCTACTCCAAGCTCTTCTAGCGCGCTCTGGGAACTAATCAGTTGTACCTGAAAGCCAAATATATCTGTTCAGCGAATGATGCCGGTAACCCACTCTAACGCGTTGAAATACCGTATAAGTAAAAAAAAAAAAAAAAATATATATATATATATATATATATATATATATATATATATATATATATATATATATACACACACACACACACACACACACACACACACATATATATATATATATATATATATATATATATGTGTGTGTGTGTGTGTGTGTGTGTGTGTGTGTGTATATATATATATATATATATATGTGTGTGTGTGTGTGTGTGTGTGTGTGTGTGTATATATATATATATATATATATAAGAAAAGTCATTTTGAAGCAGGAAGATATATCCTAGGAAACTCTAGTTTCAAAACCGGAATAGACTCGACAAATAGGGACAAGCACATTCAACAGTTATAACCAAGCATGTAAAGACACTAGCATATATCCTATGGGATAGGCACATTCCACAGTTGTAACCAAGCATGTAAATATACTAGCATATATCCTATGGTCACGGATTCACTTCATCTCATGTATACCATAATTCAACTCATCACACAAACACACTTTGTTGGCGCCACAGGACCAATCGCATGCCCATACATGAGGGTCATCGCATATAGCTCTGACACGGCCCCGCAGCACCCTGCCTCGTATCGCAACACGAAGGGGTCGATCGCAATCGACCAATGAACCGCAGCTCATCATAATGTTTGATCGCAACCAAACAGTGGACCGCAGCCCAAGAGTGACCATCTGACCGCAGCCAGGAATATGAACCGCAGCTCATGTAAAACGTTTGATCGCAACCAAACGGTGGACCGCAGCCCGAGAGTGTAAATCTGACCGCAGCCAGCTTCTGAACCGCAGCTCAGGAAAAACCAATTTGATCGCAAACAAATTGGGGTATCACGCACACATAACACATAGCATGCACATGCAACCCATATTAACACATTGGGAAAGGGGAGAAAACGTATAATGAAACCTATGCGTGGTCATCCACATACTAGGAATAATCCTAAGGGGTTCATACTTCTTTCACCTAGGCCAACAGGATACCAATTCAACTAGCATGAGATATATATATAAGACTCATTTATCCTACGAATGGTACCCGAAACATCAAACTAGACTTTAGGCACGATAAACGAAGTCCATTGGGACACCACGAGGGTCGGGGAAACATCAAACGGAGGAAACCACCATCCCGATGTGGGAAAACCAGCGGGTGGAGGACCACCTGCCGGCGGCGAGAAACCGGGCAGCGGGTGCCCGGCGGGCAGTCGCTTGCCCGCCGGCTGCCCGCTGCCGACGACGCCCGAATGGGGCAACGGGTAGGTGGCGGGTTTCCCCTACCCCCACCTATCCCCCCCCCCACTGACTCATTATCACAATAAACGTCCCGGGATCGTTTGTGGAACCCGAAACCATGCTTAGACACTTTTAAACGCAATTGATGACACCACGTAATTAATGGATCAAAAGTAAGAATCAAATATCACATATCCTATCATGATTTCTAAGCATAATTAACACCCGAACATGCGAATTCCCACCCAAATATGTCAAGAATACCACAATATGAATTTCACGATTCATCCTAGGGCTCTAATCATATTTAAAGAATCAAGATCATAGTTCATCTTTTAACAACAAGAAACATCAAGATTTATCAAGAACATCAAATAATCATCAAGAACCTCTTATCATCCTCAAGAACATCAAGATCACACATAAAATCATCTCACAATCATCAAGAACTCATCATCAATATCATAAACGATTCGTCAAGACACCAGTATAGAGAGGAGGCCAAAGAAGATAATTATAGCAAGGAAAATAGGTTTTGTTGAGACATGGGTTACCTCTTAGCCTTAATTAATCCTCCCTTGGCTATTAAGGTTCTTCCCTAAGATTTCCATCCGTTTGATCTCCCTAGGCTTGGTGGTGGGGAGTCCTTTGGGAATTCTTGTGTGGTGATATTTATTGTGGTGTGACTTCTAGGTGCCTCCTATGTCCTTATATATATATATCTAGGAGTCCTAATTATGGTCTGAATGGTATGTGTTTACTAATTCTATTCCTTATAGGACTAAGGACTTGGTTTAGGGATAAGGGTCCATAGTCCCTAGTGGACCATATTAATTAATTAAAGGGAATCCTAATCATAATCTGAATAGTAAAGGCCTACTTTCTTCATTCCTAATAAATAATTAGGTCTATGACTCCTAATTAGAATCTGATTAGTAAAAAGGTTTACTCACTTTATTCCTAATAGGCTTAAGACTCTAGTTTAGGCAAGGGTCCACGATCCATGGTGGACCATATTAATTAATTAAAGGGAATCCTAGCCAAATTAAATCCCTTTTTAATTATTATTAAAAGAATTAATTAAATAATTAATCCGGGATTGAAGGCCGTAACACGGGGTGTTATAGTACCATCCTTCTGAAGCTAAAGGACAAAACCCTAAGGCTATCCATGCCCTCAACGGATACATGGTACAAACCACATTAATGGAGCATTTAATGCAGCAAGCTCCCCGGTCCTTACCCACTGGAAAATAGGTTTGAAATTTCATCTCCTTCCAACGGATGAAATTTCCCTCACCTATATATACCCACCTTCATCAACTAAGAAGGTGTTGGTTCTTTTCACTCGATAATTCTCTCAAGCAAAAAGCTCCTAAACAATCTCAAAGTTCTCACCAAGCTTTTTGCGAACCAGTGTCAAGGCGTGAAGATTTTTGAAGAAGCTCATTATTTCTTATCTTCCACCTTGAAGAAGTCTTGCATCTTATAAGAAGTGATCATCCTTCATTCAGTCAAGACTTCACCACGTTGGAGAAATCAGAAATCATTTTCTACCAACCTCAACTCTGAAGAAGACGTTGATAGAGGCGGAGTAAACTCGCGGAGTTGAAAAACCTACAGGAAGCTGTCCGGCTTAGTGATCAAGGAAGCTTTCGTGTATTTGTACTAACGAGTGATAGTGCAAACCTTCCATAAGTTGTGGAAGAAGAGTGGAAGTAGGCAAAGTTGGCCGAACCACTATAAAAACTCTCATCTCCCTATCTCTTATTTTTCGCGATTTACTTTCTACATCATATCATCATTCGCGCCCAAACCGAAAGTTTCATTAAAACATCAAACAGTACAAAGTAACTAAAACGAACTTAATATTTCCGCTGCGCTGTAACGCCGAAAGGTTGTTATTTGCCAAAATCTGAAAAGAGTCTATTCACCCCCCCTCTAGACTCTCGTTATAACCCTACCGGGACCAACAGTGTTTCCACTTGCCAGGGAGTTAATGTTATAAGCCGGTTTGCGTTGGACGAAGAATATTTCTGCACAAATGTTATCATAGGAAAAATTCAAGTACACTGCCACTGTTAAGCCATATAATCACTAGATTGGGTTTTATATATGAGGTTGCTCTTGATATGCTATGCATTTCTCGGCCCATTGTACTATTTCATTAAATTAATTTGGAGTGGGAGACATGCACATGCGATCAATGGGCAATATATGGCTTGCCTTGCGCGCACATCATAGCAGTATGTTGTTTCAAGAGGAATGTTCCAGACTCTGTTGTGCTTGTAGTGTTTTCTCTAAATTAAACTATTACAGCTCATTTGGTTCGCTGGAAAATATTTGAAGGGAAATGGAATTGAAATTCCATGGAAATAAATTCCAAGAAAATAGATTTCATTGTTTGGTTGGTGGAAAAGAAATTACTGGGAATATGAATTCCATTGTTTGGTTGAGTTTGAATTATAAGGAATAATGTGTATAATGACAAATATAACCCTACACAACAACAACAACAACAACAACAATAATAATAATAATAATAATAATAATAATAATAATAATAATAATAATAATAATAATAATAATAATAATAATAATAATAATAATAATAATAATAATAAGAGTAATTAATAAAGAATGGTGAGGGTAAAATTGTCATATTAGTTTTTCATGGAAAACATTTTCCATATATGGAAAACAAAATACCTAGGATGAGCTAGGAATTTGTTTTCCTCATTCTCAACAAAAACTTTTTCCAATGGAAAATGTTTTCCATCTAACCAAACAACATAAAACATCATTTTCCTTCACTTTTAGGAAAACATTTTCCATCCAACCAAAAAGTATCACCGGAACAATAGAGTAATTTGCCTACCACCCTCAAATGCACGCAACAAAAGTCATAGAGGTCAACAACAAATGAGTAGGCCAGATTCCAAATGAAATGGACTTTTGGAAATGTTTTCTTTTTGAAAGAGTAAATACCCAAAATGGTCCCTCGACTACAGCTAAATTCACAAATTGGTCATCGACTTTCAATTTCAACCAATTAAGTCCTTAACTTTGCAATTTTGACACGATTTGGTCCTCCATCTATTTGACCATTTGTTGACCGTGATCGACGATCTCCAGAAGAACCTTCAGCTCTCGTCGGAGCATGTGGAGACCTCCAGGATGACATTGCACCAGTTCGGAAACACGTCGTCTTCTTCGCTCTGGTACGGACTCAACTACATTGAATCCAAAGGGAGGATGAAGAAAGGCGACCGGATTTGGTAGATTGCTTTTGGCAATGGATTCAAATGTAATAGTGCAGTTTGGAAATGCAACCGGAACCTTAAAAATCCGACGATGGACCATGAAAATACATATATATCCTCAAAAATCACAGTCAACAAACGGTCAAATAGACAGAGGACCAAATTGTGTTAAAATTGCAAAGTTAAGGACTTAATTGGTTGAAATTAAAAATCGATGACCAATTTGTGAATTTAACTATAGTCGAGGGACCATTTTGGGTATTTACTCTTTTTGAAATTGCCAAGAAAGAAACCATAGTACACAACGTATCAGTGCCCAAACTTGAACAACAACTAGGACTCATTGTATTTTTTTTTTTTCTTTATGATATGTTAATATCAATGTTGTATTTTTTTTTTTTTTAATTCAATCGTTATGAATCGATTTGCATTACTACCATTTTTTATTATTGAATTAACAATATTATAAAAAAAATTAACAAATCACTTTTAATTATCATCTAATGATTTCTTATCGAGTTAATCATATGGGGTCTTTCGAGTATAGTGGTTGATTTTAATGCCATATGGTTGGCTATTCAATTATTAAAGAAATAATTAACCCTAGACGGTAATGCATACGGCAATATACATACAACTCTAAGAAAATACATGAAATACTTGAGAGTAGGAAAATATTTATTCGCCATACTGTATGTTCTGGAAAAGTGGTTTAAAAACTGTAAAAGCATCACAACTTTCAGCATTTTTATCCAAGCTCACAGAAATTGATATTTTTATCCAACCTGTTAGGTTTTTTTCAGCAATCCAAGCTATCCCAAGCATTTAAATTGACTTCATAAATTTTTATCACAATCAACACCCTCTTAGATTTCAAAAAAAAAAAAAAAAAAAAAAAAAAAAAAACCCTCTTAATTGAGCTTGTTACACCAGCTTTTTTTATTTTTTTATTTTTTTATTTTAATGTGTTTTATATTTTTATAGCTATTGTACATGTGTGAAGTTTAATCTAAATACATCTTAAAATAGTTATTGCGAGTTTTCCTCGTTAAATTTTTATTTTTTTTTTAAAGAAATTTTATCACAATAACATATTTTGAGAATGTGGCTCCCTCTAAGAACATATAAAAATTGCAAAAGTTAGCAACGCCACAGTCGACTCTTAAAGCTCTGCTGATTGGCGGCGAATTCCCACTTCTCAAACTAGCAAACGGAAACCATCCATTAGCCAACCTGACTTCATAAGACCACAACACCGGCAAAACTATCTCAGTGGACTTGTCTTTATGTCATAAATTATATTTTACAATTGTGAACTGTCGACTCAGAAAACATATCTTAGTATATATCTCTATTTTCCTTTTTGATAAAATGACAAGAAGCAAAAGTTAACCATTCATAAATCATAATTTTGGGTTCCGTAACGTAATTTTTTTATTTTTTATTTTTTTTGTGGGGAAGAACTTGCGTGTACTTTGTTGTGGAGTTGGAAGAAAAATAAATAAATAATTGGAGATTTATAGACGATTGAATGTACAGTTGGGGATCTGATCTTAAGCTTGATTGAACACTACAATGAAGTTGCATATATACTTTAAATATATGCCTTGCTAGTGCTAAATCTATTTGAGCTACAAATGTGATGAGCTGAGCTCGATCAGCTATTAGTTTTGATGATTAGATATCAAACCTTCTCTGGGGAGTGGTTCAATCCTTATCGCTATGCTCCCCTCCGGCGGCGGCGGTGAGATGACCGATGAGCTAGGAGTAGCGGCGGCGCAGCCAACAATTTTTTGACAGGTTTCAATGAGACAGTGGCGGCAAGTGGGGCAAGAGGAGTGAGAGTTGAGCCACTTGTCTATGCAGCGGACGTGAAAACCGTGGTGGCATTTGGGCAGGATACGCAAGCGTTCGCCGGGGGCGAATTCCGACAGGCAAATCACGCACTCCGCGTCAAGCCCCGGCAGCTTCACCTCATTCGTGTAGCTTATCGTCGGGAACGTCTTGAGCGCCTTCTTCTTGATCCCCGTGTTGGCCAGCCTCGCCGCCGATGGGTCGCCGCCGCCGCCACTCCGCTGCTGATCGCCGGTCGCCACCACTAAGTTTGAACACCTTAACGCACACCTTATGATGGAGTTCAACCCAAGCGAACAAATCAAGGCGCACAGCAGCACCGACAGGACCATCACAACATTCGCGTCAAATGCGTTGCCACCCACCGCCGCCTCCGCCGTCATCGGGTCCCGTCCGTCCCCGCTGGCCGGCGGCGCTGCCACGGCCATCAAGCGGGAGACATGGGTTGGCAGCGGTTGCAGCAATCTTCTAGAGTGGAAACTTCCCAAGAAATCTTGAACGGAGAGGGCAGAAAAAGTAGCCATTTTGGGTTTTGGGTTTTGGGTTTTGGTTTTCGAGTTATGATATTTTAGTTGGTTAAATGGGGGGAGGTTATATAGGTAGAATTTGTGGGAAGTGAAGTGAGGAAGAACAACTTTTTGAGGCTAAATAATTGAAAATTTTATAATTAAGTTCGAAGAAGGAAATGTAGTGTACAAACTACAAAGTACAAACAGACACGAGAATTCAATCTTAAATAATGTGGGAATATTCTTAAAGTTTGAAACAATGCTAATATTCTAGTAAGGTTCATAGGTAGGCAATGGACTTGTAGAATATACTACAGTAGTAGCTAGTATACTTAGGATTATATGGACCCTCCACTAATTTTGTGTTCTAATTAATGGGCTATGGGTCCGACCCACCTTCTACGCATCGCAGCCTGCCACGTACCGATAGTCATATCTCAAAAAAATCCGGGCTGGGTCCCAGACGCCTGAGAAGCTTCCCTCTATCATTCTTAGATGAAAAATGCAATATTTACTCCTATTTTGTATTCCAAATTTAAACTCCTATTTACAAATCTTGATGTAAATACTTGTATTAAGACTCACATATTAAAAAAAAAAAAAAGCATCATAAATTCATAATGGTTATTTCCTTATCCTTCTATTTTGTGAGTCTAATTTTTTCACATAATTTTTTTTTATTATTACAAGGGAAGAGGATACCCAAACTACTAAAGGCCTTCACTGAGAGGTGAACCTATCACCCTCCCACTTAGAAGAGCAACGAGATACCATTGGACCACAAGGTCCTTGGTATCATATAATTTTCTTTTCCACTTTATTTTCTATCCTTCTCTAATTTCTCCTTTTGAGGGCTATACTCCTCCACATCAACTATTATTTTTTAACTTTTTTATAATTAATAATTTAACATTTTGATTATAATTTTTATTTTAAATAAAAATGAATTTAAATGACGAAATAAAATATTTTTTGAATTATAAATATATTTTCATAAATGAATCAAAATATAATTTCATAAATTAAAATTTATTTTCGAAATCGTCAACATAATAAATTGACATTCAAAAGTGAATACAAAATTCTAAATACTAAATATAATAACAATTAATACCATTAAAAATTTTACAAATAAATTAAACTCAAAAATAAAAATTAAATTTCAAATTTAAAATTATGAAAATAATAAAAAAAAAATAAAAAAAAATACATTTTAACCTCAGTGTGTCACTATTCTTCCAAGAGAACAGTATCTCCGAAGAATACAATATCCCCTAAAATTTATCCACCCCAAGCGAACCATTCTCCCCCATTTTTTGCCCTCATCATTTTGCATGATTGGAGATGCCTGTAGTGTTTGAAGTTCACTAGTTTAACTTTTGGCAACGCTTTCTTGATTGTATCAAGTATTTTTTGTACGATTTATCGTTAATGTATAGTTTACGACAAGGCTAATTAAAAATAAGAGACGTATTTAATAGTTGAATTTGGACCCTTTTTATTTTTATTATATAATTGTGAATATAAAATAAAAAATGTAATATTCATTTAAAAACTTTTACTAAAATATAAGAGCAAATTACACTTTTGGTCCTTTAACTATAGGGAGCGTGTTAATTTTGGTACGTGACTTTTAAAACTAACAATTTAGTCATTTAACTATGTTTTTTTTAACAGGTTTGGTCCTCCCGGCCATATCGTCGGCCAAATGTTGCCGAAAAAACATAATTCCTTTAAAATTGTTTATTCATAGGGACAAAATAGTCATTTTAAGTCATTTCTTCTCCTTTTTGCTGCACCTGCGGAAAAGAAAACCCAAGCAACCCACCGAAAAAGTAAAACCCAGATAACATAGACCGATCATAATTTACAGGTTATTATACAAACATAGAGTTAACTTAATGCACATTCTCGAATACTAACAATGAATTTCTATCATTATTTAAAAAAAAAAACAAAAAAAAAAAAAAACAAAACAAAACAAAAAGATAGGCACGTGACATGGACATTATCTTTTTTTTTTTTTTTTTTTTTTTCCTTTCTTCCTTTATTTCTTTCTGTTGTGCTAATACAAGTCGGATTTTGATATGGGGAATGTCCTTTCCATTTGCATTATACATGATGTATCACTTTCTTCTTCTTTAATTTATTTTTCTTTTTATCTTTTAAGATTTTATGAGAAAAGGAGATAATAGGATTAAACCCAACTAGCAAACCCTATTTACCGGGCATTATTTAATATTATAATATAATTGTTTGTAAATTTAGTTCAATTATTCATTCTTAAAATTTTATACATCTGCTCTAAATATGAATTATTTATTATAAATATAATATCAATCTACTTCTTAATAATTGAACTATAGCAGTGCTATTAGATTTTAATTAGTATTGCTTTTTTTTTTTTATTTGATAGTGCATACAAATATTAATGTTCAAATAATATAATAAAAAACGTTTTAAAAGTTTTGGATAACTTATTAATGTTCAAATATAAGTTTCAAATAAGTTTTTTATTTGATGGTGCATACAAATATTAATGTTCAAATATAACTTAGATTTGGATAATCTAAAATAATCCAGAAAAACATAATTCTAGATCTGAATTATAACCGTAAACTATTAATTCGATTGCTTTAGTATCCGGTTCAATTCAAACCGAACCGTGGTTATCCCTACGTATACGCAATAATTTGTTGGAGTAGTAAAATAAATAAAATGTTTACTTTAAGGGTACAAATGTCAATTTAATATATATATATCAGGGGAAGAAAACACCACTTTTAGAATAATTGAGGGGACTAATGTGCTTACCTAAATAATTGAGGGAGAAAAAGTGCTATAAGTATATAACACAGGGGTAAAAAGTGTCATTTTATCTTAAAATAATTATACTAAAATGGTACATATACCAATTATCATTTAATTCAAATCTCATGTCTCAAAAATAACAATTAAAATTTAAATATCACTCCGATGTACTCTACACGAACTTAATTTATCATCCTGGTCATCATATCACTTTCTTCTTGTATTACTTTCTCCTTGGCCATTTTTGATATGGCTAGATCCTTGACATTGCATCAATTTTGTTTCAAAAAGTCGTAAATTTTATCTAGTGTATACGTGATTTATATATATATATATATATATATATATATATATATATATATATATATATATGAAATTGCACCGTGAATATTGAATGCAAGATTTAATTTATTTTTCTACTTGATTTTATGTTATGCAGCAATCGCGTTTATTAATTAGATTTGTTAATCAAATATAAATAACGAAAATTGAAAGCATAAAATAAAACAATAACACAAGAGAATTGTTGCGCAGTTCGGAGCGCTTCTCCTACGTTTACGGGGCAACCCACGTCTGCCCAATCCACTATAGATGTTCACCAAGGAGTATTACAAGAGGTAAGTATAAATGGCTCTCAGCCTTTACCACTAAACCCTTCCTAACACATATTCAGGACTGAACCGTGCATGCCATAGCAATCTTCAAGCGAAGCTTCAGCTGTACCAGGTACTGACTGTGTAGCTCAGACAGAATTTCTCAAGAAATAATAAAATAACAATAGATATTTATGCAGTAGCTTTCTAGAAATTCCTTTACTCAATATATCAATTCTCAAAAATGACAACTTTCTTCATTTAAACGGCTCCCTTTTATAGTAGTAGATATGCAGTACATTGATCCTCATATTCAGCATTCCATAACCTTCATTAATCCACATCCACTCGTTTTATTTCGAATGCTTCATAACACACGCTGCATTTCTGACTCCTTCATTTTCAATCTTAATTTCACCAATTAATTGTAGTCATTCAAATTAATTATTAGTTGATAGAAAATGGTCCAAAGAGTATAACATAAAGTATTTCACATTGAATAATTCTAACCCTTTAATAATTAAATTAGCCAATTTATATTAAGGGTTGTTTTTTTACGTGTATCATTTATACACTTACAATCTCCCCCTTTGGCAATTTAATTGGCAAAAATTAATGCATGTATTCTTAGGGCCAAAATAAATTCATTTTCAAACAGTTTTATTAATAGGTGGCCCTTAGTATACTTGCTTGACATGTAAACCTATGGGTTAGAATTATTTTGAGAAATTACCATGTCATATGGACTGTAGCTTCATCCACTGATAATCATCCCAACAGACAACTGTATCCCAAGCTGTATCACACTCAAATATTTATAATGCATAGATAATCCGCTGAACTGATGTGAGTAATAAGATATAGATAAGAATCCCAATAATATGAATTATGAATCCAATAATAATCAGAAGTCAAAAATAACCACCATCCAACCATCAGCCAACTGCTACCAATCAGTGTGACTCCAATTCCAATAGTTTTACGAAAACTCCCCCTTAATCCTTACTCCCCCTTCGTATATACTCTCCCCTTTTTGCCAATGAATTGACAAAGGTGAACATTATATTCGTGGATTGAGTCTGACGGAGTGCCCTATTGGATTGAACCTGCACAGGTGATAGGCATATTTTACACTCGTATTTTAGGTACATCTTTATAATAATTTTGCATTAGTTATTTAATATTATTTAATAATTAGTTCTTTTTATATTTAATATAATATATAATATATAATATATAATATATAAGAATACATAATATATTACTACGTACCGTACTAGTTTATACATATATATGCATTATATATACATAAATTATTTTAATATTATTTTGGTCCAATTCTTATACTAAAGTCAAAAGGAATAAAATATTAAACATTGTTTTAATTGCTTCTTTTCTCACGTGAAGTGAAGAGGATAAGAATTAGAAAAGCTTCTTGCGCAACTTTCGACCAAGAGCGGCATCCGCAAGTTTCGACGGCATGCAGCGAGAAAAAAATAGGAAAATTGGATGGTTGAGGTTCATTGAGCCTATTTTTAGAATGCTATAAATAGTAGGAGTTTCCTATTGTAAAATGTTCATTCTTCCCCTTTCGATTATTCTGTAAAGTTATCAATGTCCATTCATTGCTAATTTCTTTAGCTTGGTTTAGTGAATTGAAGCCCCGGAATTGATTATGCTATAAGATTATTTATTTATTTTTATTATATAATTTTTATGCATTTGGGTATTAAATATTCTTCTAAGTTATTTGAATAGTAGTTGTATCATTTAATTGCTAGGGAGGCCTACTAGTTATTTACTTGATATAATTA